AATTATATATATATATATATATATATATATATATATATTCAGACTTGTTAAATAAATAGAACGCAACAGACGCTTCAATCTTTAAAAAATCATTACGTCCATTAACGTCCATTTCTAAATCCTCCTTTATCGATAAAAGTACCTCTAAAAGTGACTTATAAGCCTTCCTTCGGATTGGCTGTGAGCCACTTTTAGAGGCACTATTATCAACAAAGGGGGATACAAGCCTGAAGTATTATCGCGGAATCATTCAATTCGCAGAATCAATTAATCAGCAAACGAGGGAACGAGGGGAAAAACGAAAAGCCAGCTGGGGTTTGAATGGATAGTACATTCAGAAAATAGCACGAATGGCACGGCGGAGTCTATATCTGGCAACGGAAAACTGAATAAACGGACAGCGGGCCGGTGGCGCACAGGTGCGCGAAACTTTCGCGGCGGCTGGTCGGCTTAATGAAATATTCCATTCACGGTAATGTTTAACTGTGAAATGACTTCCAGCAGCCCCGGCGCGGATAGTAGTCAAGAGTAGACAATTAGTTTTTCCTTCTCGCGCTACTTCAAAGTCCCTTTCTCTCGAGTCTCCAAGTCAAACTTTCTATGTCACCGGACGAAGATTCCACTCTCATTAGAGAGCGGAACTCTTGAGAGCGGCAAGAACAAGATTAGATTAGATTAGATTTATCATCGTACTTTGTAGAGACTTAGGGACTTCCTAAAATATACAACACAGCGATGTACAGCTGTGTACGTAACTTTTATACGCACAAAATATCCCATTAAACTCTTTAAAAAGAACTTCCCAATGCGATTTAGCTTGTATTTTTTTTCTTCTCTCTCTCTCTAAGAAGAAATCATTAATTTTTTTATGATTTGTTCCAATTTCCAATCGCGATTATGTACTTTTATTAAGTCTCGAAATTTATACGCTACGAAATTAAAACGAATTTCTGAAATATACTGTAAAATATTTTTATCTTCTAAGTTTAATTATAAAAAAATATTTTAAAATCACGAGCATCATCAATGTCGGTGATGTTTCTATTATAATAAGATTGAGACAAATTTTGTTATTTATATTCATGTTAACTAAAAATGTTAAAAAATCCATTTTTAAAAACACCAAGAAATTTAATTGTTATTATTATTTTTCCGCGTTGCTAATTGGTTTTCTTATTTTGCTCACTTCGTGTTATGGAGGTAGTTGTCAGCATAAAAATTGTATATTTTAATAAATCGTATATGTTCATATGTTTATTTGATTATTATCAGATAAAAAGATTACAAGTTGTATGAAAATATTTTATTACATATTTCCTTCGGAATATTTCGCGATTAATTAAATGAGGATGATTCTCATGTCACATGACAGCTGTTCATAACACGATGTAGACATCTACATAATTGCGACACAAATTGACAGAACTTGAATTTTACATTTAATTGAAGAACATGTAACATCGGAAAGTAAAGAGCGTGCGTTTGTAATGTCTAGTAGTGTTACTGAAATATAAAAACACCAAAGTGTAAAAAGATGAATACATAAACAAGCTCAAGAATTTAAGATATGACCAAGATTTCGCAAAATACAACGCGAAAGAGGTTTCGGACATTACTCCAAGCGCTCATTTCACCCTAATCCTCCATTCCTCCCTTTCGTACGATATTCGCGACGACCTTAACCCGAACAGTCCCGGGATAATGTTGGAGCTTCGTACTGCGCGCAGTAGCATTCGAGAAGGATTAACAACGAATGGACAGGTCAATAGGAGGAGCCGAACCGGCGTGAGTAAGCCTCCAGCAGAGGTACATAATGTGTCCGAACCAATCCCACCCTCATGGCATAGTCGGGCCAATTCGATAAGCCCTTAATCCATCGGCAATTAGCTCGTGCGCACCAACCCTACCGCAAGCTCTTTACCCTCCACCGATTCGCGTTGTCCGCCGTCTCTATCCCCCGGAAAATCGCCCGTCCGATACAGTTTATCCGTTTCACTCGGTTTACTTTTGAAATTAGTACTGCGTTTTGCACGATTGCACGACGATTGGTCAGTTGGGATAAATCGCCAACGCGGACGTGAGACAAATGGCCCGACACGTCTTCGACGTATTTACGTTTCTTCGGCTTCGGCAAACTCGCGCCATTGTCAAACAAGAAACAGCGATATAAAACGAGCCGCTTCGTGTAACGCGCGATTAATTCATTAAATGAAATCACGTAGAAACGAAGGGATTCTGAGAGAGGGCGAGCTCGAGCTTCGGCTACATCCCGAAAGTATCGGACGTGAAAGTAGCGAACGAGCCTTATTTCACGTTCACGGGAAAGAAATGATGGCGGATACGCCATCTCTTCGTAAAAGGACCGCTGGAAGCTGACCTAAGGCGGCCGAATCAATGGCATGGAATCTCGTAAAAAAATTGTAAGAGAAGAGAGGGAGAGGAAAAAGACTCACCGTGAGACGTCTTCCTGGGAAACTGCTCGTGGTGTCCCGGAACCGTGCAAAGCGAGGGAGGACGCGTGGCGTGATTCTTGCGAGTACGGTAGAGCTGCGGTGTTGTTCTCCATCGCCGATACGGAGCCATTTTGTTTACCTATCCAGGAAAAAAAATCAAAGACGTCATTTATTAATACACGTGCGCGAAAAATCGTCAATCACACAAAGAGAAAAATTAGATTTGAATCAAGAAAAATATTCTCATATATAAACGAAAATATAATAATAATAATAATAATAATAATATAAAATTATAAGATATAATATATAAGATATATAAGATTATAATATTAGGATCTTCTTAAAAATTTTAGTCTTGACTATATTGAATTTGTATTGGTGCAAATATCATTTTTTTATTCTGAAAGTTAACTGAAAAAAAATATTCTATATGAAAATTAAAATATTCTTACTTATATATTATACGAAGATATGTAATCTTGATTAATAACTAATTTTTTTCTGAATATATTGTAAAATCTATACACAAAACATTAATCTTAATTTTATTGAATCTATATTGACGCAAATATTACTTTTGCTCAACTCAAAATTAAAAATTTTGTAGATGAATATTATTCGTAACATTCTTATTTATATATAAGAATATATAACCTTGATTTAAGACTAATTTTTTTCTGTGACAAAAACCTCGTCGACGATGTTTTCTATTTCCAATGTTATTTCATTGTATTTAACAAACATCTGATAGTAAATATTTGCCAAGAAATATTACAATTTGTATTATTAATTATTTTGGAACTGCATTCCTCTAAAGATAAATCGCGTATTTAAGACGTACAACAATTGTAGAAATTAATATACGAAAACAGAAAGTAAATCATAATCATAAATTATAGTACTCACATATTAATAAATCATTAGTTAATTAGTTTTGTTTTTTAATAAAAGTTGAATTAAAAAAATTCCAATTCTAGGTATAGATCGCTCATTGTTATAATAATTATTAGAGAATTATACAAGATTTCAATGATTTAAAATATACAAAATTCAAATTCGAAAACAAGTTCTTGATTATGACATCCTAACATTTTTCGCATGTATATTTTTATTTATTTATTATAATATATTAATATAATAAAATGTTATTAATGTAATAAATCTTTTTTCAATTTTTTATGAATATGTATAATGTAATATTAATGTAACCGCGCGTATTTTATTTATCTTTCTGCAAGTATATATATATATATATGAAAAAACATATGTAGTACATTGAGATAGAAAATAGCAATCTAGAGCGGACTTGTTTATTTGCATCGCGAGGTGGCTTCTCCGAGGAACTCCCGACTGCGCTTGGAGATTAAAGCAAATATTCGGATAATCCCACGGGGCACCGATATGCCGTGGCATTAAAGGGGCAATTTGAATTCAGTCGGCATGAAACCGCCGCCGTCGAGCCCGCTTTTTCCCGGCTCACGTCGAGGTTGGGCGAACCGTCACGCTCGTATTGCCCTGTTTTTTCTCGTTTGTAGAAAAATAAATATGGAGATATTACCGCGGGATAAAGATACAGACGCGATATATATATATATATATATATATTATAAAACTCAAGCATACTTTGATATCTTTTCAAACGATCTTTCATTTTTCATAAAAAGAAATCTTGCAATAACAATCGATCTCGTTGCAGCGGTCGACGTATTTTACTAATAGACGCTTGAAATTAATTTTGCCAATTTACAGGAGAGATTAAAGGAACGTTTTGCCACAACATCGATCTTTCCCCGAGGCATAGAATTTTAATGTCACACTCTCGAGATCTCCCCGATCGAACGTTTTCGACGCATTCGTAGCACACACGCAATAAACGGGAGAGGAAAGTAAGACCGCTCGCGTGCGGTCCGGGGGGGTGAGCTTTACGAGCTCGGTTTTACGAGACCGATGAATAAGTTACGACCCGATCGTCAGTAAAAGTCCGGTCGATGGCGGGGACCCGCGGATCAAAAATTCATTTCCGCACCTCTCGACGCACGGAAATCGCTGGGGTTCGTTCGCGTTTATTTCCAGCCAGCCGGGGAATGGTTACCAGGAGAAGCTGGGGGGTTAATTTGAATTTCAACGCGCCCGCGTCGCGCAGAAACGGCTTTGAATAATTAATAGGCTACCATAATTATTATTTCGAGATCAAGATCTCGCGATCGAAAAAGCGGCGGCGAAAAATAGCGGTCACGACGGAGGTGAAACAACGTTCCTTCCTTACGGAGGGCCGATTATTAAATCCGCGCACGGCCCGAAATCCTCAGCCGCTCTTGTCGCGTAAATGTCACGAACGATGAAATAAAGTCACAAGTTTTCACGTTACGATTTTCTTTATTCGGCTGATTGACAGTCAACGAGATTGTATTGTGCACCATCTCTTATACTATATTGTTTAGATTATAAAAATATCAATGAATTAAGAGACATATAAGTATCTTGGAAAAGCATAAACAATGTGAGGCAAAATTTTATTTTTTGAGATGACCTTTGATGGCGTTCAAAAGATAATTAAATTTGAGGTTTGAATTGAAAACGTTAATCATTAGTTTCATTGACTTTTTTGTAATAAATTTTCAACTCAGTTAAATAAACAACGTAGAAAATTAGAGAAATGATGACTTACGTGGCTGAGGCGAGAGGGAATTGTCCGTCGCTATCGGTGGAGGGGGCGGGGGGATGATGCCACTTTCCGGCTTGGCAACCAAAAGCACAACGCGATCTTGGGTTGCCTTCAAAGTCGCCACTGCTTCTTCGTGTGTCACGTTCTCCAGATTTTTATCACCCTGCTAAAACCAATATGTGCTCTTCTTTAACCGTGTGTACTTAAGATTAGTATTAG